AGATTGACTAGATTTTTTACATGAGGTTGGTGAGGGACTTGAGCTATATGTGAAAATATTCTTCTGTGTGACAACTTTGTAAATAATCTTACTGTTGAAAGGGTGACTTTTCACCTCCTATGGAAACCCTTGCTTCAGCATGGACCTTTTACTTAAACCTCTCCAGGGTGATGATCTCCTTACCCCATTTGTAGCTCAAAACAGAGAGACCCCCCTAACGTAAGCTATTGGAAGGACTTTGGATTTTTCTCTGAGAGAATTAATGAACTGTTAGATATTTTTTAGTTGTTTTGAGTTGTGTTTGTAAAGAATCACCCTAGCTGCTGTGTTTACAATCAACTGTAGGAAGTCTACATTAGACTCAGGGTCTAGTTATCGGACTTCTCATCACCATGAGAAGCAATAATGGCTCCAACTGACCTGGAAGCAAAAATGATGATGAGAAATGGTCAGATTCTGGATATATTTGAAGAACTTATGGGGTTCGTGAATGAATCAGATGCAGGGTGAGGGAAGAAAGGAATTGAGGATGACTCTAAGATTTATGTTCTTCATCTCAGCCAGTGGAGGATGGAGCAGAGGGAAGCAAGACTAGACAGTAAAAACAGCAGTGCAGAGACTGCTAATATAAGGAGAAATGAGGAGCAGCTGGATTATGGTAATAGAAGTGGGATGTTCAGAAATGAGAGCATCATTCAAGAATTATTCTGGAGGTAGAATTAACAGGACTAGGGGTAGCGTGGATTTTCAAGATGAGAGATAAGCAGGTCTAAAATGACTCCCAAAATTATGACTTGAGGTAGGTATTATCATTGGCATGATAGGAAAACAAATCATAAAGTGTCTTCATAAATTGTCTAAGGTGTTAAAGTTCAGTAATTTGTAGACCCAGGATTTGAACTCAGATATTTCTGATTTTAGAGTCAGAACTGTTAACCATTTCATGGAGCTTATTTTCCCTAGAAGCAAGATTAATAGGAAAGGGGTCTACTAGTTGGAAAGCACCTTTCTAACAGTGCCTTCCCTCAGTTTGCTCAAAGATGTAGTGTTCCAGGAAAGTCCCCTTGGATGGGCAAGGAAGAAAGGGAAGTTTAAGCCAGCAGTGTATGACCAGGAGTCCTTTCTGTTGCTGAAACTACGTTGTTATATGCCATCCTTTCATGCTCAAAAATAAGAATGGTGGCAAGTGCAGGCCTGCTGGTACAGCTTAAGATGATATTGCTTATGGATGTATTTTTCATTTTAATAAGGAAAAGTACTTTCAGGTCCAGTTAATATATACCATGAGCATTTCTCTGTGGAACGCATTTGATTCTATTCACAATTGTTACCTGTTGTAATATCTCCATTCTGAAAATAAGAATACAGCCAACCATAGACCTCACATTTTCCTCTAGCTACTATTTCATTTCTATTCTCCTTTTCACACACTCTTCTTTAAAGAGTTGCCTATATTTCCACATCCTTTCCTTCTGTTCTCTCTTGTACCCACTCAGGTTTTTATCTGCGCCAAATCTACTGATACTGTGTTTGGCAACATCGTCGATGACCTACATACTTTCAGAAGCATTGTAGCCCTACTGATCTCTCCTTCCTTATAGCATTCTTTAAAATAGGGTTTTACTAGTATTTAAATATGATAAGGCCAACAGAGCAGGAGAGGATCACTATTGAAAAGATAGTTTACTATTCTCACACATTCCAAGAGAACAGGGCATGCAGTGCCACAGGGGGCCACACAGAGAAGCACCAGGGTTATCCAAGAGGCAGAGAGAGGTGGGAAATGTGGGTAAGAGTCTTTATTGTAGTTTCCACAGAAAGGAATGGGTGAGGCAGGGTAAGCAGATTTAGGGTTGGCTAATATGAATAATTTCAGCAGGCTCCAGGACATAGGGGCAGTGCCTAATTTTCTGGTACCTAGCCCCAGGGTGATTAGGGCAGGAGGATAATGCCTGGGAATATGAAAGCCCTCAATAAAGTTTGGGGAGGTCTGAGCCCTGGGCTTGTTGTTTTGCATTTGAAAGACATGTTAACGATCAAGTTGTTTACTGTGTCTTGGAATTAGCTAAATCTGGTCTGGAGAAGCAGCCCCTTCAAAGTTAGCAAGGCTCCAAGATGTTATAGCACCAGAATGCAGAAAATTTTAAAAATTGGCTCATATGAAAGGACTTCAAAAAAGTTCCTTTAAAAGTGCAATTACAGTGTAGAAGTTCCTTTTGGTGCAAAAAAAAAAGTTGAAATCTATGCATAGTTTTGTTATATACACATTTTTTTTTGAGAGGTTTTCGTTATAGGGCATGTGCGCTCGCCAGACAGAGAGAGACAGAGAGACAGAAAGTGAGAAATCACCCCCCAGGGGGGATGGCCACACCGCAATCCCTTCTCCTCCATTCTCCTCTCTGGATCTTGGGCACGCACGCACACACACCCAGCGTGAATTTTAAGCCACCGGGTCTAGGACGCGAACCGCGATTGACTACGTGGGAGTCCAGCGACATAGCCATTACGCTAACTGCTGGTCCCTTATATACACACTTTTCATGAACTTTTTGGAGACCTGTTATACACATTCTCCTTTCCCTTTTTAGACTTCCTCTCTATCTTCTTTGCTTTGAGAGGGTGTCCTATCTTCCCAAAGAACTATAAATGTTGGATTATCCCATGTATCAATCTGTGGATATTTTCCCTTATCTCTGTATAGGTGCAGTCATGTAGTCCTATGACTTCAACTAATACTCATACATTGATGATGCTCCAATTTTTATCTCTACCCCCAAACTCTGGACCACCTATTATCCAACTGACTACTAAACAACTCCACTTGAATGTTTATTAGATATTTCAAACCAAACATGTACCAGATACAACTCTTAGTTTCCTGTCCCTAATCTTCTTCGCCTATCTTCCCCTTTTGAATAAATAGCACCTCCATTGCCCTTATGACTCAAGCCTCAAACCTAGGAATTTTCCTGGATTTCTCTATTTTTCTCAAACTACATATCCAATCTGTTAGCAATTTTCTTTGTTACCAATTTCTTTAAAAATGTAGAAGACCTGAATAAATCGAAAGACATGCTATATTCATGGATTGAAAGACAGTATTGTCAGGACAGCTATATTCACAAAATGGATCTACGAATTCAATGCTATTCCTACCAAAATTTCTGCTGTCTTTTATTTTTCTTTCTTTCTTTCTTTTTTATTTTTTTTGCATAAATGAACAAACCAATCCTCAAAATCACATGGAACCACAAGAAAACCAGAATTACCACTCTCCTTCCTCAGAAAAATCTTGAAAAAGAGGAATAAAGTTGGAACACTCACACTTCCCAGTTTTAAAACATAACCACAAAACTATAGTAATTAACACTGCATGGTACTGACATAGGGTAGATATATAATACAATGAAATAGAATTAGGAGTCCAGAAATAAATCCATTCATCTATAGTCAACTGATATTTTGCAAGAGTACCAAGACAATTCAATGGAGAAAGAACAGTTTCTTTAACAAATAGTACATGAACTACTGGATGTCCACATTCAAAAGAACAAATTTGGAGCTTACCTCATACTCTATCAAAAATTAACTAAAAATGGATCAAAGACCCAGATATAAGAACTAAAACATATTTAGCTCTTAGAAGTAAATAAATATAGGGACCAGCAGGTGGTATAATGGGTACATTGCTGGACTTCCACATAATAATTGTGGTTCGAGTCCTGGACCTAGTGGCTTAAAACTCAAGCTAGGTATGTGTGAATGCATGCCAAAAATCCTGAAAGGAGAATGGAGGAGAAGGGATTGCAGCATGGGACCAACCCCTCTCGGAGCAGGAGGTAGGGCAATTTTTAACTTTCTGTCTCTCTGGCAAGTACACATACCCCATCAAAAAAAAAAAAAAAAAAAAGAAGTAAGCAAATATAAATTTCTGTGCTCTTAGATTAGATAATAGATTTTTTAGATATGACACCTAAAGCAGAAGTAATAAAAGGAAAAATAGATAAAGTGGATTTCATTAATTTGTGCTGTAAAATTAAATTAAAACATTTTTATTTCAAAGGATACCATCGAGAAACTGAAAAGTCAATCACAGTAGAAAGTATTTGCAAATCACATATTTGATAGTTTGGTAGTTCTTCAAAAAAGTTAAACACAGAGTTTCTATTTGACTCAACAGTTTTACTCCTACATATATCCAAGAGTATTAAAAGCACATGCACACAAAAACTTGCTCTTTATAACAGCATTATTCATAAATAGCCCACAAGCAAAAACTACCCAAATGTTCATCAATTGCTAAGTGGATAAGCAAAATGTGATATAGGATACAACAGATCATCAGCCATGAAAAAGAATGAAGTACAAATATCTGCTAAACAAAGTTTACAGATAAACCATCATATTCAGTAAAAGGAAGTAGTCACAAATGGCCACATATTGTATGGTTGCATTTATATGAAATGCCCAGAATAAGCAATTGATAGGGACAAAAAATAGATCAGTAGTTTTCAGGAGTAAGGAGGAAAGGGATCAAGCATTGTGGAGAATCTGTTTTACTGAAATCTGTTCTTTAGTATATAACTAAGAGCTGGCTAGAGATGATTATGTGCAGTATTAATTTGAAAAAACAAGGTTGGTTTTCAAGGACCTATAAGACCTATAGAAGGTTTCACGGGAGAGACAAAGAGATGCAGATACCCGGCAGTGTAGGTGGCTCATAAGGATTGTCTCATATTGAGAAAGAACCATCAGAAAAGGAAGAAGAGCAGCTCATTTGGAATGACAAAGAGTGCTTCACTTCCTCTTACCCTACATCCCCTCTGCTCCAGGCAATCAACCTATAACTACTCTTCCCAGCTACTCCACCATGGTCTATTGCCTTCTCCAAAAGATTTGTTTACACGTCATTTCCCCATTTTCAGGAATGAGCAAATCACCAAATCACGAGACCCAGTAAAGCTGTATAAGGCCCTGAAACTTTCAATTGTTTATTTCAGACCAAGTACAGAAGATGTTCCTCCTCTTGCTAATGTTGAGCTTGGGATTGCAACTTCATCAGATAGCAGGTAAGAACAAAGGTATAAGGGGCTAACAGGAATTGGTGGCTAAAGCCAATACTGAGAATGTGGTCCTCAGGCTGGGGCTTTCATTGAGAGAAAGTTTGAATAGTAAAGCTTTTGTAAGCACCACAAATAGAACAATGCCCTGATGGTCTGTGCATGCCAATGTCCATCTGACAGAAACAGGGACTAAGAATATTGATCCATCTATCCCCGTTATCCAGTGAAGGTAGTGACAAGAAGACAGGACCAATCAGACCCTGTGCATCTGAACTGATACAAGAGGTCAGGGGTTGAGTTCCTTTTAAGATAAGGTGCCCAGCAATTGTTCTCTACTCTTCTGGCTGAGCGAGTAAGGAGACAATGGTCAGGAGACACTTAGAGGATTCTGTTGCTCTGAAGATTCTGTTGTAGACATTTTGCCAATTATTAGATATTCATGTGAATTCCTTTTTAAAAAAGCAACAGTATCAGTCATTGGTCATTCATACCTCAATTACTTGAATTGGAAGCTCAGGATCTTCCTGAAATCCAAATGAATAATGAACCTTAGCCAATAACTTCAAGGCTATGCCTTTGGATTTGAAGAAAGGACTTCTGTTGAAGGATGTGGGTTAGGTGGAAGGAAAGCATTTCAGAGTTGGTTGTCCTGGAGAAAGTGGTTCAAACCACTTGTACAGTCATGAGTGCATTGTTGTGGGTAAACACCAGGAGGAAAGATAGGAAGACAGAGGTGGAGACAGGGGATTAGGTTCTCAGTGATAGCAGCCCTAACCCCATGGGAAATCATCTAAAATTTTGCTCTTGGTTGAGAAACAGTGGCTCTTTTGGCATTTGACAACCTTTTGAAGAGTGTTCTCGCCCTTTGTAGGTGGTCCCAGACTGCTCTTTTCCTAGTTATATTCCTCTTCTTCCCTTGGGCAGCTCAGCCTGGTCTGGCACCAGAGACATAGACTTGGGGTCCTCCTCAAAGAAAACACATTATTTTGCTTACTCCTATTTTGCCTCTGCATGCCAGCTAAAGGAACACTTCATGATTCTGTCATAAGAAACCCACCTGGCTAGGATTTTAGACATGCAAAAGAAGTAAACACCTCCTTACTACAAAAAGCTTCATGTCCTTATAATGTAATGAGGGAACAAAGGGCTAAAAGAAGAGTCAGAAGCTCAGTCCCACCCCCCCCACCCCCCATTCTGGGGCAGAATTGAAGGCTTCAGGGAAAACCATGGGGATTGTGCAATTTCTGTGGATTTGAAGCTTAAGAACATTGAGACAATGCTTTTTGTTTTTGTTCTTATTTTGCCACTTCTCTTAGGAAAAGAATGAGCTATGATAATAAGGGGCAGCATATTTCAGTCCTTGCTAGGTCTTTGTACAGAGGCAGAACCTTTTCGTCTAAGGATAGCAGCACAAAGCAGTGACGAAAGGCATTAACTCTGAGTTAGTACGACTCTTGTAAGCAACACAAAAAGAACACTGCAGAGGGAAGAGAGTTTATATTTACTGACTTACTAAATTCCTAGTACCATGCTAGGCAACTAATGTATGTTATATCTCATATAATCTTAACAATAACCATTTGGCAAGGGGAAATTGAAACTAAAAAAAAATTCATTTTTGGTGACTATAAATAAAGTTCCTATAAGCATTTGCATATAGGTTTTTGTGTGGATATAGGTTTTTATTTTACTTAGATAAATACCTAAGAGTTGAGTTGCTAGATTATATGGCAAGTACTTGCTTTTACTTCATAAGAAACTGCCAAACTTTTCCAGAGTGGCTCTACCATTTTTGCATTTCCACCAGGAATGCATGGGAATTCCAGTTGCCCCTCATCCTTGCCAGCACTTGGTATCATTTAATTTTTAAGTCATTTTAATAGGTGCATAGAAGAAGATCATTGTAGTTTTACTGTCCATTTTCCTAATAACTAATAATGCTAAGCATATCTCCATGCACTTACTGTCTATCTATAGATCTTCTCTAATGAAGTCTGTATTTAAATCACTTGACTGCTTTTAATTTGGTTGTTTCTTATTGTAAAATGTTGAAAGTTCCTTAATATTCCAGACATGAATCCTTTATCATATAGGTGACTTGCAAATATTTTCTTCTAGTCAGCTTGTCTTTTCATTCTCCTAACAATGTATTTTGCAAAGCAAAGATTTTAATTTTGGTGAGGTCTAATTCATCAATGTTTTCTTTTATGGGCTGTCCTTTTGGTGTCATATATAAGAATTCTTTGCCTAACCCAATACTACAGTTTGGATAATAGTTTGTCCTCCAAAGACTCATGTGTTATAATTTGGTCCCTAGTCTAAGAGTGTTGAGAGGTAGTAAGACCTTTAAGGTGAGGCCTAGAGGCAGTGTTTGGATCATGGCAGCATTGCTCTCATGAACAGATCAATGCTGTCTCATAAAAGCTAGTGAGTTCTCACTCTTGTGGAATGTGGTTAGTTCCCACAAGAGCAGGTTGTTATAGAAGTAAGAGCTGCCCAAAGTCCTCTTTCTCTCTGCACATATCTGCTGCCTTTTTCCATTTTCTTCTACCGTGTTGTGATGCAACGAAGGTTGGCCAGCCACTAGCCCCATGTTCCTGAACTTTTGACCCAAATCTTTACAAATCAGCAAGTCTCAGGTATAGCCCATTTGTTTAGCAACACAATTACTGACTGAGACACCCAAGATCTAAGAACTTTTCTTCTATGTTTTCTTCTACATAGTTATAGTTGTACAATTTATATTTAAGTTTATGATTCATTTTGAGTTACTTTTTGTGTAAAGTGTGAGGTACACCTTAAGGCTCATTTAATTATTTTGCTATTATTATACAATACTTTGCTACCTTATCATTATTATTACTTACATTTAATTGCAATTTCCCCTGTTTTTTATTGTGATTTTCTGGTTTACATATAATCAGTAGTTTACAGTGTTTCTTAAGGCATGCATGTAGTGTACAATAATCAAATTTTATTAATAGTTATGCTAGTTTTTTTAAAAAAATATGTATTCAGTTGTCCATATTTTTTATTCTGATGCGATAGATATCTTATCCCATCGAGGGTCATTTAATTATTCCATATGAATATTCAGTTGTTATAGCCCATTTATTGAAAAGTCTATTCTTTTTCTGTAAAACTGTCTTTGAACTTCTGTCAAAAAGCTAATACTTATGGGACCAGCAGTTAGCATAATGGCTATGTTGCTGGACTCCCACATGGTCGACCGCAGTTTGAGTCCCAGACCCGGTGGCTTAAACTCACGCAGGGCGTGTGTGCGTGTGTGCCCAAGATCCCGAGAGGAGAAAGGAGGAGAAGGGATTGTGGTGTGACCATCCCCCCGGGGGTTGATTTCTCGCTTTCTGTCTCTCTCTGTCTGTCTGGCGAGCGCATGCGCCCTATAGCAAAAACTTCTCCAAAAAAAGAAAAAAAAAAGTCTTGTACTTATATTTGTGTGGGTCTGTTTTTGGACTCTGTTTCTTCTATATATATATATATATATACATATTCTTTCTCCAATATCACACTCCCTTTATTACTGTTGCTTTATAGTTTATCTTTTGTATATATTTTTGTGTATTTTTTAAATTTTAAAACCTAAGGATTTCCTGTAACCCAGATGTATCTGAGGGGTAATTTTATTTTTATAACTTAGCATGTCTTGGAGAAAAGAGCAATCCCAGTCTTCTTTCTTTCATTGATGCTTCTTTCTCTCTTTGTGCTCCAGAGGTGAATGAATACCCAGAGGCCATATGACCACGGTAATATATGAGGTCACTCTGAAGCAAGGACCACACCCTAGGTCATCCTGCAGTCTTGTCTTCAGCCAAAACTACTTCTGTTGACAGCTGAGATATAAAAAAGACCAGAATCAGGCTGGAGAAAAGATTTCTTCTAAGACAAGCTATGTCTCTATGCAATTCCCCTACATAGAGCAGAGCATGAGTTCAGTGCACAAAGCAGGGCATTGTTCTAAATCAGGAACTTGAGGGTTTTCTGAAGAATGTAGCTAGGTAAAGCAGCCCCCACCCTACCCTCACCTTTCAAGTACATTATGTAGGAAGTCTGAAAAATCATAAGCTTCTGCTATTAAATGCGAAATAAAATGTATAAAATTAGTTTGAAGGAGAAGCTATGTTGGTAGAAAATGCAAATGATTTGTTTTGTGTTTCCTGAAGATGTGGCAGGTGCTGACTCCCACTGATGCCTGGTTGCAAATAAAATGTAAAGTTTCCCCAAGAATTTTCAAAAAGCCTCCAGCATCACCCAAGTTATCTGCCTTAATCTAACTAAAGGACTTGCATGTATGAATTTTTTAATGCTTTTTGCCAAGTACTTAGCCCTTTTGTTTAATGAAGGGTCCTAAAGTAGATGGAAAACCTGTGTTGTCTGCTTCACTTCATAGTCATGGAAACCTTCCACTTTTCTCCTTTATCTGATAAATTCAGGAGTTCAATGCTAGGTTGAGGCTTGATTTAATAACTATGTGGTAGCATGGTGGTTTAGGTGCTGGACTCCCACATGGCCATTTGCAGTTCGAGTACCAGAACTGGTAGCTTTCTCTCTCTCTCTCTCATTTTCTCTCTCTCTCTCTGGTAAATACACATGCCCTTAGGAAATTTAATAAATAAAGTAAAATAATTTTTAAAATAACGGTGTGGTACATGGAATTGAAAACAAAACATCTTTTGCTTAGCATAAAGCTGAAAAAGAACATCTGTCTCATTCATGGATAGTATACCCCTGTCAGTGGATATATATGGGCATCAGTAGGAGCACAGAGATGAATGTGCATTGACAGCACAAAGGTGAATTTGAATTCCAGTTCCATGAACAACCACTTTTCGATCTAGGGCAAGTTTTGTCTCTTCTTTAAGCCTCCATTTCTCCATCTGTAAAATGTAGATAGCAATTCCTATCTCGCATAATTGCTGGGCACATCAAACGAGATGATAAGAATTATCCTAGTGTTTGACTTATTGTAAGTGTTTAAGAAATGTTAACCAGGCTGGCCTCATGGCCTAGTGGTTAAGGGATCTGGATCCTACATGGTCAAGAGTGCAATTAGGATTCTGGCCCCTGGGGCTTGAAATACACACTGAGTGTATGCATACACCAAATGCTGACAGGATAGAAAAATGGAGGAGAGAGGATTACAGTGTAGACATGCCCCATTGTAAGATGCTTTGTCCCTCTCTCATGAGCACACACACCCTTGGAGGTGGAAGGGGGGGTAGGAAAAGAAATGTTAATTGTTATGCTACTTCCCCAAAATAGTCCAAATGCAGACCAGTGTTACAACTCAAATACTAACACAAGGGCAAATCACTGACCTTGCTAAAAGCAGATCCTGATTCTGTAGGTCTGGGACAGGTCTGAGAGTCTGCATTTTTTACCTCACTCTCAGGTGAAACTGGGGATGTTCTCAATGGCAAAATGGTAAAAAAAAAAAAAAAAAAGTTTTCAATTGCAAGTGTCTTTTTTGTCTGATTAATGGTTCTTAAATTACTGTCTCCATATTGAAAGCTCCAAGGATTTTTTTTTTTTTTTTTTTTTTTTATTTGACGCTGGCCTTCCTACCAAAGGAATTTAATTTTAAAAGAGCCAATGTGGGTTCTGGGCAACAGTAGGTTTTTGTTTGTTTGTTTGTTTGTTTTTGGAGAGGTTTTTTGCTATAGGACATGTGTACTGGCCAGAAAGACAGAAAGTGAGAAATCACCCCCCAGATTGTGGCCATACCGCAATCCCTTCTCCTCTTGGGATCTTGGGCACGCACGCACACACACCCAGCGTGAGTTAAAGCCACCGGGTCTGGGACTCAAACCATGGCCGACTACATGAGAGTCCAGCGACATAGCCATGACACTAACTGCTGGTCCCCAACAGTAGTTTTTTAAAGCCTCCCAAGTGACTCCAATGTCAGCCAAGTTCAAGGCCTTCTGCTTAGTTATTCTGATGTGCAGCCAGGCTTGAAAAAAAAACCTCTTCACAGGTGTTTGTAAAAGTACTTTGATTTCCTCTGTAATTTACAATAAGTAAGAATGTTTTAGGATTTCAAAGCTGTATTGCATTTCCTAAACTCCTTGTTTTATATGGAGTAATCAAGCTCAAAGTTTTGTATGACTTAGAACGAAGCCTTAATTGGAGCAAAATTAGACCAAATAACAATTACTCTTTTAGTTATTCTGAACTACTCAGATATGTGATTCATATTTGCTAATCGCTCTTTCCTCTTTTGAACATTAACTGAAGAATGCTATACCTACAACTCCTAGCACATACTCTGTTGTAAGACAGAAGGGAAAGACAAGCAGAAAATGGACTTTTATTAAAGGCCCAGGCTATGAACAGGTGAATCTGCTTCACGGTGAGGGGAGTTCCAGAGGAAGCAGCAGTAGCTTTCTCTCATGAGAAGAAAGTGTACTGTGGTCAGTAAATTTGCTAATTAGATGCAACTGAGTCTACACCCAAAGTCTTCTACCTAATTCTTATTGTTACTGAGACTCATCAACCTTCCTTCCAAGACCTATTTCCTCCCATTTTCTGTCTTATCATATATAATAAGAGAAGACAGTACTATAAAACAGTAAAAGTAGCAATAAGTTCCTAAGCCTGGTATTAAAAGAAAAACTTTAGACAAATTAAATTTAGCAGTGATTATTTGAACAAAGAAATGACTCATGGATCAGGCTATAGTCAGACCAAAAATGGTGCAGAATGCTCTACTAACCACATGTGCAGGTTGCATTTGTAGTCAGAGAAAAGAAAACATGATCAAATTTAATGGCATTTGGCACATAGAAGATGCTTAGTACATATCTAATGAATCTTCTTCCTGGGAAAAGTGGATTTGATACCAGGTGGTTCTGTCTTAGTTATAAGGGGACTTAGTAACTCAAGTATTTAGAGATGGTTCTCATCATAAAGTAATCTACTCTTTTAAACTAAACTATTCTGGCCTAAAGCAGCTGCCAAACTCCCACTCTTGGATTCCTGTGCATAAGCCAAAATCGTGCATGTTAGGCTGTTTCTCTTCAGCTGGTTACTAAGTTACAGCCAATTACACTACCCACACGTCAGTCACTCACAGAAAGTCCGCCTTTTAGGCTGTTCTTTTAGCCTACCATCCCCCTGTAACCAATAGTTTCTCTACCTCACTCCATCACTTACATTTTTTATACAGCATTTTTCCTTTTATTGCACATGTCACTTTCCCGTTTAGCCAACTTTGACGATGAGGCTCACTGGAGTTGTCTGAAAGTTCAGGGACAACTGCCCGATTGAAATTATGTTAAAATTTGCTCAATAAAACTCTGCTCTTTTAAATTGAATAGTTTATTTTTCTTTTAACCACCCTTAAGCAGGTCCCATTAGGGAGAGCCTAACGTGAAAGTTATTTTAAGCGTAGTGGATTCTGCAAAATGGAACCAATGGAAATGCTGAAGCATGATATCCTTTTTCACAAATATCATCCCAAGGTCTTCTCAACATGGCCCAGCAAGCACAAATGTGATTAAAATCATTTTACACAGAAATATTGACGTTATAGCCCTCTCTCTGTCCCAATCCTGCACTAAAGAATATTGGGCTTATGTTAACTTCTCTCTGTACCATAGATCTCTCCAGAAAGACACATGATTGTCCTGGCCATAGTTAAAATAGGGTGGAGGCAAGATTAAACTCAGTTTTAGTAATTCTTAGGTTTGCGCATATCACTATCATGTATGCTGTGTGGAGATTAAGAGTGCCAATTCATCTGATCTTGGACAACTTGTGACTTGATTAGAGGAAAACAAATATGAATATGGTCAGCCTCATCCTTTCTTTCTCCTCCTCTCTCTGTCATTTATTTCCCAAACTCTTAACTGGAACTTGGTATGTGCTAGGTACTAGGGATAGCTAAGCTAACTCAACCTGCTCATTATCTTCAAAGACTTGCAAGATATTGGGAAGAAAAACTCGAATCAGAAGATAATTGCAGTGTGAATCCTTCAGGCAACAGAAAACTCAAAAGTGACTTATATTGTGGAATCTAGTCAGGGAATGGACAGTCCTGGTTAGTAGAATATTCTGGTAGTACTGAATGGCAATACATTCCACAGATAGGTTACCATATGGATTAATTCCAAAGAATTAAAACATGGTACAAAAGAAAGACGCTAACATTTGCTGGGTACCTACTAGCACCAGACCTGGGCATTTCACATGTACCACCTTATCCAGTTTTTGCCACGATCATGAGAGGTGGGTACTAACACAGCAAGGGTAAGCAGCTTGCCCAGGATTGCGTACCCAGGATTAGACCAGTTATTTCTAAGCCTAAAATGCTGTGAACCCCCACATTATACAAGCCCACTGTGTATCCTTTTTATTTTCTATCAATAAGAGAAAAGGAAAAATGGAAATAATATTTCATGTATACTGTTATGCACCAGGTACTTTATAACCATGTCGCTTAATCCTGGAAACATGACCATGAAATATGTATTGTCATTATGACTTTATAGTTGGGGAAACTGACTCTAAGAAGTTTTCTCCAGGACAATTAACAAAGTGAAAATTCAGAGCCAGTCAAATGTTTGACTTCAAAAGTTTATAGTTTCCACTTGGAGAGTATTTTCCAAAATGTAAGGCACATACCACTGGAAGTCTGTAAGATAATTTTAGATGGGGCAAGAATCAAGACCTAAAAGGAGTTTAATTATTCAGAGACAAGTTTATTCCCTTTTCAATTGTATTTCAATTCTTCAATTACATATAATTTGCAATTAGACTCCTATATTTCTAACACTGGATATTTTTCCTTTTAATAAAGCAGAAAGCTTCCAGGAAAACATAACATCTGGGTAGAATTCAATAACATTGCTTGATTTTCATTACATTTGTATTTGTTTCTATTCTCTACTAACCAGTTCAAGTGATACTGGTCTTCCATCTGCCACAGGTGTCTCCTTTTTCATTAAAAAATAATAATAAAGCTGAGTTGAATTAAACACTTCTGTAAAAAAAAACAATAGCATAAGGAGTGGCCAAACATGGCGAAACAGTGTTTGTACGAATAAAGTGTGAGAAACTGTACAAACTGTATTCATTGTGAAGGAGGTATAGGATGATCTTGAAGTAATTTATGAATCAACACAGATGAACTCAAATTATATTCAGTAGAGCTTGCTTTATTTATTCAGTCAGATGCTCCAATCAACAAATATTTGAAGGCTTCCTCTCAGCATTAGCTCTCTGAAGGGCTGAAGGGTTGTTTCATTATAAAATGTGGCATGGGAAGAGTGTAGGATTTACTGGCAGGTAAGCCTGCTTTCAAATCCTGATAGCGGGCTCTTTGACCTTGCGCCTTTCAGTTTGCCTCTAGGAATCTCAGCCTCTTTATCTGTAATGTATCAGTAGAGTGTCTAGCACACAGTGAGAATTCAAAAAGTAATGGCCATTGTTGTTGTTATTATTATCACTGGTAAGAGGAAGTAATATCTGGCAGGGAAATATATAAATTCCCCCATATGGATTAAAGAAAATTAATCTGAATAAGAGGATGTGAAGGCAATGAAGTAAAATGGACTCAGACCGTGATGGTAGGGGAGTTGTAAGGAGGAATACTGTTCACACGTAAGGGATGGTTTGGGATGACTGCAGGGCTTTCGGGGAGGAGGGAGATGTTACAAAGAGCAAACAGTGCTGGCATCAGGCACTCCTGCTGGGCACTCAGGGAGGAGCAGGAGGGTGGTCAGCTGCACAGGTGGGATTGTTTTGAGGTGAGCACTTCCTCAGAGAAGTGGATCAAGAATCCCACTCTTGCCCAGAAGAGATGGGGCAAAGGAGAGAAAGGATCCCAAGGGAATGCCTAAATTATGGCAGGTATCTTTTTGGGGTCTGCAGGTGGGAGGCGGACCTCAGCTCCTATTCCTTGAAAACTAAAATGGGAGACCATGGCAAAATGTCTTGTTTCCTTTTCAGCCTTATTCACAGTGTCGGTCCCTAAGGAACTGTACGCAGTAGACTACGGCGGCAATGTGACGCTGGAGTGTGATTTTGACACTGGAGGTCATGTGGAACTTGAAGCAATAAAAGCCAGTTTGCAAAAGGTGGAAAATGAAACATCCCCAAACAGTGAAAGAGCCACTTTGCTGGAGGAGCAGCTGCCCCTCGGGAAGGCCTTATTCCACATCCCCAGCGTCCAAGTGAGGGACGCAGGGCAGTACCGCTGCCTGATCATCTATGGGTTGGCCTGGGACTACAAGTACCTGACTCTGAAAGTCAAAGGTGAGTGGTTTCGAGGACTAGACTCCATGGAGCCATCTCTCCTGCAAGGACCTGCTCCAACTGTTACAGAAACCCACGAAACGTAGTTCAGGCCAAAACTGGTTTTAAGGAAACAGCTATTGCTGAGAAAACAAAAGCACTTCTCAGAAATGGCTTTTGACATCTGAGTACCAAGCAGCTGAAATTAGGGTTAATAGAGGAGAAGTTGAAAAAACTGAGACAGGGCTAGAAGAAGCAAAGGTAAGCTTTGCCTAAACACAGTTCTCCCACTGAACATCCCTATCCTGATTATGAAGTTTCTCTTTTTCAGGAGTTTATTCTTCTAGTCCAGAGTTTTTAAACCATGGTTTGCTACATAATAATGTCCTTCTTGGTCAAATTAGAATAAATAAATAAAGTTAAATAAAATAATTCTTTTTAAAAAGACTAGACATGAAGGTGAACATTGCTTTCACTGTGTCCTTGGGCAGATTGTTTTGCTTCTCATAACCTCAGGCACCAGTATGGTGTGTTTTGTGTCATTATTGCATTTCCTGCATTTAGGCAGGCATCAGCTGGGAGGAACTCTAGAATACCGAAGTTAGTCTCAGTTCATTTACTGTGAGGAAAGATGGCATATATTCTCACGATCCCCTAGGGCATAGAGTAGCTGCACCCCTATACCACCACCACCACCCCACGGTGCATTAATCTCTACCTGAACGTGGTGTAGGAGCCAGTCATCTTGCTCTTTGTCTCAGGTTTGGGGTAGCCTCTCATTCCCAGGAAGGCACTATGCCGACTTCCTTACCTAAAACAAGAATTTCTTGGATGTGGGAACCATTCCTTAAAACAGTGGTATTGGGGGGACCAGCAGTTGGTGTAATGGCTATGTCACTGGACTCCCAATGTAGTCGACTGCGGTTCAAGTTCCGGACCAGGTGGCTTGAACTCGCATGGGAGCATGTGCATGCCTGCCCAGGGTCCCAAGAGGAGAATGGAGGAAAAGGGACTGCAGTGTGACTATCCCCAATGGGGGGTGATTTCTTACTTCCTGTCTCTCTGCCTCTCTGTCTTTCTGGTGAGCGCACGCGCCTTATAGCAAAAACCTCTCCAAAAAAAAAAAAAAAAATGGCAGTGGTATTAGGGCCCCACAGACGGCATAGCGGTTACACCGCTAGACTCACACAAGGCTGACCTGCTCAAGTCTCGAACCTGGTGGCTTAAAATTCATGCCAGGCATGTGTTTGTGCATGCCCAAGATCCTGGGAGGAGAATGGAGGAGAAGTCCCCTGGCCATCCCCCTGGGGGGTGATTTCTCACTTTCCCTCTCACTATCTGTCTGTCTCTCTCTAGTGAGTACACATGCCCTAAGACAGAAACATCTAAAAACAAACAACACAAAAAACAGTGGGATCAAACTGGGGTAGATGGGGATCCAAAGACTTTCTAAGGGATGCATGATCACAGGCAGTTTTAGGAAATGAGTTTCCAAATCTCATCTTTCCCCAAAATACTCTTCCCTAAAATTGATGAGCCTGAGAATATGTCTGCCAGGAAAGGCTCTTGGGGTTCCCCTGAAACACTTCCTCTTATATTATTGCTTTCTTGTACTTCATATAAAGCTTAGTTCTCACCCATCATGAATAGTATGTATTAGACTCTTCCAGGGTGTACAAACCTCTGTAGTCCTAAAAACAAGGGTACTGGGAAACGTTGACACCTTATGGATTGTCATGAGGGATAAATCCTTTCGTAAATCAAGTGGTATCATTTTTTTCTGCTTTCAAGAAAATTGAGAGGCCCTACTAGAAATAAGGGCTGATAATCAAAATTGACTGATTTTTGCCATATAAATCATGTAATTTCGAAGAATGAAGTGACATTGCTGTAATAAAACTGCTTCCATCCCCACCAACTCTCTCATATGAACAAGTTCCCTTAGCCCTTATAACAATAGACATGAAAAATAGAAATAAAATGGACACTGAATTTTACCATGGAGTCATTCTAACCATAAGTCATATGCTTCCTCAGATTCATAAACAATTTGAAAAAGAAAGTCCTATCAAGAGATACATTGTCTGGGACCAGCAGTTAGCCTAATGGCTATGTCACTGGACTCCCATGTAGTCGACCACGGTTCGTGTTCCAGACCTGGTGGCTTAAACTCATGCTGGGCGCATGTGCGTGCGTGCCCAAGATCCCGAGAGGAGAATGGAGGAGAAGGGATTGCGGTGTGGCCATCCCCCCCGGGGGGGTGATTTCTCGCTTTCTGTTTCTCTGTCTTTCTATGTCTTTCGGGCGAGCGCACGGGCCCTATAGCAAAACCCTCTCCCCACCCCCCCCCAAAAAAAAGACATACATTGTCAGTGACTATTTCTCTTATTATTAATAATGATCAATGTTTATAATTTCAAATTTGATTATATGTAGTGATAATAATGGAAATTAGATCTCTTTTTTTAAAGAATTATTTTATTTAACTTTATTTTAATTTGACCAGAGAGGGATAGAGTGAGAGAGAGAGGGAGAGGGAAAGTGAGATAGCAAGCTGCCAGGTCTCAGACTTGAACCACAGTCAGCCATGTGGGAGTCCAGCATTCTTAACCACCACGCCACCTGCCAGCTCTGGAAATTAGATCTCAGTGCAGAAGAAAACTGAACATTTATAGCCTCACAGTCATTAAAAAGAAAATTAATTTTAGTAACTATAAATCATATAATAATAGAAGAGCTGTAAAGCATTAAAAAAATATTGTAGTAAGGTAAAATTCTGGGTGTTCCTCTGGCTTTGCGGCGTCCTCAGCCTAACCTGCCGGCGGCAAAATCAGAGCACCCCTAATTCCAAGTCTACGAAGCCCTACCCAGAGCTGGACCCAGCATCTTGCTAAACTCTTAAGTATGCTTTAACAGGAGATGAGGTAAAGAAGATCTGCACACAGCGGTTCATTAAGATTGATGGCAAAGTCCGTACTGACATAACCTACCCTGCTGGTTTTATGGATGTCATCGGCATTGACAAGACGGGAGAGAATTTTCGTCTGATCTATGATACCAAGGGTCGCTTTGCTGTCCATCGTATTACACCTCAGGAGGCCAAGTACAAGTTGTGCAAAGTGAGGAAAATCTTTCTGGGCACAAAAGGAATCCCTCATCTGGTGACCCATGATGCTCGTACCATCCGCTACCTGGATCCTCTCATCAAGGTGAACGACACCATTCAGATTGACTTGGAGACGGGCAAGAGTTCTGATTTCATCAAGTTCGACACTGGTAACCTGTGTATGGTGGCAGGAGGTGCTAGCTTGGGAAGAATTGGTGTGATCACCAACAGAGAGAGACATCCTGGCTCTTTTGATGTGGTTCATGTGAAAGATGCCAATGGCAACAGCTTTGCCACTCGGCTCTCCAACATTTTTGTTATTGGCAACGGCAACAAGCCAGGGATTTCTCTTCCCCGAGGAAAAGGTATCCGCCTCACCATTGCCAAAGAGAGAGACAAGAGACCAGCCGCCAAACAGAGCAGTGGGTGAAACAGTCTCTAGATTTTATGTTGGAGAGGTCTTCACACTTAATTAAAGATGATATAGCATAAAAAAAAATGTAGTTAACATAAGTAAATGAAAATTAAAAGATAGCCTATTTGGATATTGTCTGTAACTTTTTTTTTTTAGCCAGAGAAGGATGTACTATTGAATTGGAAAATACAGTTCCTACCCTAATAAACTTTAGAGTCAGAAGCAAAAAAAAAAGATAAAATTCTGTAGGGCACTTGGAACAGGAAGCAAGTTTCAAAAAATAAACTGAAACAATGTTAAGCTGTGACCCTTACAGAAGAATTTAGTATTTTTCAATGGACGATGGTCTGCATAAAAGACACCTTCTTTGATATTTAGATGTCATTGTATACATGTGTGAGAGTGAAGTAATTGTTTTACAAAAAGTATAAATATTTTTTAAGTGCGAAACATTATGTATTCTCCTAAAACGGAAACTCATGAAAAACTATAAGAATCACCTTGATATGTAAGAGAGTGCATAGTGCATCACAATTCTTTTAGAGGAGAACAAGGGAACAACAACAACAAAAAAAGTTGAAAACCCGAGAATCTCTTGTCTCAATTAGGGGCCTCTAAAGGAAGCAGGTTAGATGTGGGGCCCCAGTGAGGGTTCCTATAGATGGAGTAGAGGAAAGTGTATACTCTTTTAAATGCCTGATACATGACATGAACCTTGAAAATAGGTGTACAGCATCTCCTTCTATATCTGGGCAGCAATTTACCTTAAATATATTGAAAAGAGTGTTGATTTCAAAAGGACAAAAAAAAAAAAAAATAAGATGGAATAGCTAGAGTCTGGAAGAGACCATAATAAATGGCTATGGTTTGCAGCTATGTGGCTGGGAGCAATTCCTCCGAAGAAGGGCAGAGAGCATGGTTAAAAAAATGAGTAAAGAGATCCAGCCCAAGGTACCCATGAGTCTCACAAGCCAAGGTGGTGAGGGTTGCAGCGGCCAGTGCAAAGGATCCCAAACAGGCACAGAGCAAGCACTAAGAACACAAGGGTCAAACCAGCCTGAGACCTGGGCACGGGATGGGGTTGGGGCAGAACCACACCAGGAGTGGGTGACAGCTTGCAGAAGTACCCCAACCAACACACACCCCAGCCAGGCAAGCATGCAACTGCAGCAAGTGCAGGAAGGGGGCTCATTAGAAGGGCTGCACCCTAAGAAGTGGGAGCCAAAGGGCATAGGGAGGAAAATAGTCGAAGAGAAGCAGGCAGGAGTGAAAAGATGACTGCACATTTAAATATCTAGGCCCAAGGAAAACATTTGCTATAAGAAAGCTTTTAGCAAGACTGGTAGAACCACATCTTTGCCTGGGAAATTTTCTGCCTTGGAAAAAGGCAGAAAAAGGGGAATAAGAGTATCTGGAGCTTTTGTGTGTGTGTGTGTGTGTGTGTGTGTGTGTGTGTGTGTGTGTGTTGAATGTTGAAGGGACAATAACTCTTGGGGATTATAAACTTTTTAACCAAAATTTACTCTCCAGGCTGATTAACAGATGAACTGAAAGTAATCCTGAATGATATATTTTAGTGCTTTCTAGAAGCCTGAATGAATTCTCTAAGAGCATAGCATGTAAAACTTCATGATGATACAGTAGATAGTCTTATGTTAATTTTAGACATGACATTGTTACTGGTAACATGTGTGTATCAGATTGCCAGAGTCAACCAGTGAAACAGAAACAGTTTAACCCTGTGGACACCCAAAGCAAAAAATAGGAATTTTTTTAATGAGACGGAGAAGCCAAGCAGGTACAGGGAAGCAAATCAGCAATTAGCAGCAGCACAGAAGTCTGCTACTACTGTTGGGCTAAAGGGAAAAGGAGGGAAGCCAGGGTGAAATAGAGCCCAGAGATTCTCGAGAGTCACCTGACAGATACTGGAACCCTGTTCATTGGGAGCTGGAGCTAGGGAAGAGAGACATCTGTTGCTAGAGAGATAAAGCATGAGTGAGGAATACCCTTATTTCTCCCTCTCACCCACCCTCCAGCCTTCCTGTCCTGCTTCCTACTGGCTGTGAAGAGCCTAGCATACTCAACCTGTAGGAATCTGCTTCTCTGCCACATAGAGCAGAGAAGAAAAAGTGAGGGCTAGGTCTAAGGATAAACAAATCCAGGTGCATAATGTGGTAAAATGTGACTTATTTAGTACAGCTGACTGACCTATTTTATAACAGACCTATTTTATAACAACTAGTAGTTGTTTAGTTAAGGCCAACAGGGTGATTGATGGTCTAGAGTCAACTTGAAGACCATCTCCAAGTGCTAAGGGTCTGTTATTTAGGTTTTGGATATAACCAACTTAGCTGGGCACTTAGCACAATTTAGTAAAATTAGTTTTATGACCATAAGCTGCATAAAATCCTGGGTTGGACCCAAAATATGCTTAGCTCATAGGAACTAAACAGTATACTTTGTGTTCATTAGATAATATCTGGAATATAGAGCATGGCACAATATAACTTTTTAGAGAACATTGGCATAAATAAGTTGTGTCCAAAGACTGATATCTGGAAGTGAGTTTGAAAACTATGATGTGTTAGATATAGTTAAAGAAAGTGGGCATGTTCTGATTAGGGTTGAAAAACCTAGCTCATCTTCAAATATCTGAGCCTCCCTATAATATGGAAGAGTTATTAATTGCTAACACTAATTGAGTATTTAGTATGTTCTAGGCATTTAACTCATTTAATCATCGTAATACTCCTGTTAAAGATAAGCGTTATTGTACCCATTTTATAAATGAGGAAACTGAGGGTTTGCAAAGCCACATAATAGCCATTGGCTAAAGCCTAGTCGAATCTTTCAAATTCTAAAGCCCTTAACTATTGTGCTTGAAATAGAAGGTGTTTTCAAAAAGTTCATGGAAACTATGTATTATAGGGGGAAAATCATGAATTTTAAAATTTTGCACCAAAGCCAGCCCAACACCCAGCAAAAAGTCACAATCCATGTGCATCTGAGGTGGGCCTAGCCCTCCCCCTTTAACTGAAAAAAGCCTCTGTCCCAGACCCTCCTTCCGGCCCAATAGCCAGCGAAAAGCTAGGTAAGAAGTAACGTATAATCCATCAGATGATCAGAAACCACCACCACAGAGAAATATGTGAAATCAAGGAAATATCTCTTCCCCTAGGGGAAAGAACAGCCCTTCATCATCCACAGACAGTATAATGTAATTCGTGGAAACATCAAATAAAGAATTTAGGATATTCGTAGTGACAAAGCCAACAGATAAGAGAGACGACAAACTCCAGAAAAGGCAGGAGAAAAGAGACAACAAGTTCCAGGAGGTGAGAAAGTTCTTCCACAATCTGAAAGAGGAAATACACACCTTTAAAAAGAATGAAACAGAACTGTTAGAGATGAAGGCTGTAATACAGGAACTCAAAACCTCCCTTGAAAGTATAAACAGCAGATTAGAGCATGGAGAAGATTGGATCTCAGGTGGAGAAGATAGAACCTCTGACCTAGAAAAACTCACCAAAACGACTGAGAAAATGACCCAAAAACATGAGAATAGTATATGAGTAATACTAGATACCATTAAATGCCCAAACAGCCAGATAATCGGTATCCCAGGTGAAGAAACTAATCAGGGCATTGGTAATATATTCCATGAGATCCTGGAAGAAAACTTTCCAAACTTAGAGAGGTATTCAAATATCCAGACCCCAAAAATACAAAGGACCCCACATGGAATCAGCACAAAAAGATCTTCTCCAAGGCACATCATAGCCAGATTGACCAAAACCACAGACAGAGATAAGGTACTGAAATTGTCAGGAGAAAGCCAGACCCCAAAAATACAAAGGACCCCACATGGAATCAGCACAAAAAGATCTTCTCCAAGGCACATCATAGCCAGATTGACCAAAACCACAGACAGAGATAAGGTACTGAAATTGTCAGGAGAAAGGCATCAAGTTACTTTCAAAGGATATCCCATCAGGCTAACAGCAGACCTCTCGCTGGAAACAATGCAAGCAAGGAAAGAATGGGAAAATATATTCAAAGTGTTAAGTGAAAAACAATTTCAACCAAAAGTACTGTATCTGGCAAGATTATCCTTCAAGTGGGAAGAAAAGATAAAAACATTCTCAGATAAATAAAACCTGAATTTACTACACCAAACCAGATCTTCTAGAAGTTCTGAAGGGAGTGCTATACCAGGAAAACTAAAGACAGACAAATAAGAGAACAAAGAATGATCAAGAAAAAGGCCAACTTAATCGTAGGGACAAGTTCTTAAATATCAATAATAATGTTGAATGTTAATGAAAAGATCAGACCACACTTACACTGCGAATTCAACCAAAGAGACTGAATTGGTAAAATGGAATTCTATGACTTTTTTTCTAAAACATTACTGATTTTTTTCTCTGCTTTGTCTTCAGATTTAAGATATTTTGTTTTGAGTTGTTGGGATCAGCAATTAGTTAAAAAAAATTTTTTTTTAATTGAAACATAAACTTTCCTCTCTTCCTGACCCCTTTGTGATTGGAAAATATTTGTGAGCATTCTTATTTTGTGGCAGGATGGTTATTTGCATAAGTTCAATAATACAATAGTATCTGTTGCCTTGCATCAGAAATTGAATTCTTATGGGGCTTTGTGCAAATAACGGACCAAACTGAGATTAACCTAATTTTTTTTTTTGGCAAATAAGTTAGTTTAGACCTCTTTTTGTAAAAGGGGGAATATACAGGGGGAAAATGGTTCCGAAGAAAATTACAGTGCACTTGTCACTAGATTCTAGCTTTATCCATACTTTAAGATCTTTTGTGAATCAATAAAATGTGGGGAAAAAAGTTTAGTATGGAAGGGAAGGAGGGGAAAGGGGAAGGACAAAATGGGTAAAAGTATGCTTAAATGACAAAATGAGAGCTATTTGCTGATGATAATGTATATAGTAATAGCCTTGTCTTGACTGACATGCATGGTATTTGCATTAGAAAAAGAAATGTATACTGTAAAGACATGATAAAATGTAAATTAAAATTTAAAAATACATTAAAATATGTGAAATATGACCAAAAAATTTTTGTACCATTTCACTTTAATTCCATCTTTCTGTAAACATTTTGAAATCCCCTTGTATATAGAAGTCACACTCAAAAACTACATTATTTTCAAGCACAGGTGCAGCATTCATTAAGATTTATCTAGCACGCATCTTGCAGAGTTGGAAAAGATATTTCTTATTGAGCAGGAAGTTGGACAACTTCAATTTTAAGATCACTTCCACCTCTGAAATTCTAAAACTTACTCATCTCTTCCTAAGAATACCACCCTTGGTTCAGCTTCCTCATTGTGTACGGTTATTAACAAGGCTTTTTCAGACACTTCCCAAATTAGGAAGAGGTTTTGGAGGCATTTTTGAAATAGTGAAAATGTAGGATGTAGACGCCTGTCTCTTCCCCAAACCTTGCTGATTTCTTTTAGCTACACATTTCTCTCCCATCTGCTCCCTCATTTATCTACCCCAAGTCTAAGTTTCAGCTGAGCTCCTGATTCCTGGCCTTTCTACCTCTGAAATCATCTCTGAACCTAGCCACCAAGATCACCTTATTGTCTTTAACCACCCTGCAGGAGTGCCCTGGACCCTCACCTGTAATGCACTGTTCCTATGAATCCACTTACTCTGTTTCCATACTCACAAAACCTGAGAGCTTACAAGAGGACAGCAACCAAGAGAAAATAAGCATAGATAAATAACATAAAGTGAAAAATAAAGTGAGTACTGAATGGGCATGATTCAGATACATTTTAGTTGATGGTGATTGATTATAATTTGATTTCAGAGAGACTGGTGAGTCTAACCAGGTCATATCATTCAGTAAACTGCTTCAGAATATGATTCTCCTCATCTTCCATGAGTTCTAGGTGCTCCTACATCCCCCAGGAGAACGTATTTCTCTTCCTATTCATGTTATTCCATCCCCCGATTTTTATATAACAATCTTCTTATGGTGAGTCTGAAGGAGAATACAGCATACTCTTGCTATGAAAGCTCTGAGTTCAAGTCTTCCACAGACCCTCAGATTCTGGCTACTGCCCTATTTTAAAAATAGAAATATGGATATTTTCCTACCTCGTAGTGTTCTGGTATCGTTTAAATGAGGTAATGTTTATGTTAAGGGAGTGGGGTCTGGTTTTAGAAACACCCCTGCTTCTCTCCAAGTTCTTGAATAAGTAAGCTATACACATAAGAATCTGTAGCTAAAGCAAACATGAATACCATGTTTTAAATTAATAGCTGGATGGGCATGTGATTTCCCCTCCTCCTCTCCCTTTGGGGCTTCTCTGACCATGCTGGAGAACATGACTTATAATAGGAGGCTTATTTATTGCTCACCCATTCTTAATTTAAGGGTCCAGATTTACAGATCACATCTGAAACTCACTCATCCATTCCACCTCATGGGTAAGAAAATCTGCTTTGCTCACCCGGTCACAAGCAGAAGCTGGGATACTCTGGGAAGATGTCAGAGCTTTCTGAGACACACTGGCAGGTACCCACCAAGTGGAGACAGAGACTTTGAGAGCATCAAAAGTTCCACAGGTCATGATCAATACTTCAAAAGGCTCCATAGACGATTCACCCTGCTCTCTAGTGAGCCCTGATCCAGTGGGTATCTTCAGCTGTAACTAGTCAAACTGGCATCTCATAACATGGAGACACACATGAGGGAGGTGGACAGGCAGGCAAAAATTGTAGAAAGGGACATGAATATTTCTTCCTCCTCTATAGAATGTAAAAGATGTGACACAGAGCTTAACACATAGCAAACAGTAAATCATATGTAGTTGATGTTTTCCACGTGGTTGTTATCTACTATTTTAGTGTGAAATCACTTTTCACAAAGGGTGTACCCATCTATACTTCCAAAAATTGAAGGAAAAAAAATTTCATACCTGTGCCCTTAGTTCAAGATTACCTTTACTTCAAAGATCATATTGAAATTCTATTTCTTACAGAAATATATCCTGCCTAATAAAGCCAATGTTCATTCCCTCTTGCACTCACCAAATATCAATAGGTTGCTTTATATATGCTCTGATGTCTATCTGTGTTAATATTTATTTTTAGCTATTATCTATTACAAAATCATTGGACAGCTTATCCTTGTGTCTCCTGGTTTCAATATCACCTTTGTCTATTTATTTTAAAGTTATTTTGGGATGTTTAAGTTTTTTATTTTAGTTCATTAATTTTTAAATGACAAATAATAATTGTTATATTTGTGGAATACCAGATGATGCTTTGATATACGTACACATTATAGAATGTCAGTCAAGCTAATGAACATATTCTTTACCTCACCAATTTTTTTGTGCTGAGAATGTTAAAAATCTATTCTTTTAGCAGTTTGAATTATATGATACATTGTTAACTTTGGCCACCAAGCAATGCAGTAGATCAGGAAACATTCCTTTTATCTGAGACTTTGTACCCTTTGTTCAACAAACATCTTCCCCTTAGGCATCTTCCCCCATTTCCCCACACCCAGCCCCTGGTAACCACCTTTCTACTCTGTTTCTATGAGGTTGACTTTTTGGATTTCAGGTTAAGTGAGATCATACCGTTTTTTGTCTTTCTAAGCCTGGCTTATTTCACTTAGCTTAATGTCCTCCGGTCTCACTCTTGTTGCAAATGACAGAATTCCCCACCCACATTTTTAGGGCTATATAATAGTATCTCATTGTGTATATAAATAAATTTTCCATTATGTAGATATATTTATATACATAATATTTTCATTTTATCATATGTTAGATATATATTAGTGTATGTATACTATTTTCTATTTTGGTGTATACCCTTGTTAATTTTATATCTAGAAAGCAAGGAGCCATACTTGATTAATTCGCTCAGCATGTACTGCACAGAAATGTGTGTGCATGAATTGTGTGTGTGTGTGTGTGTGTGTGTGGGTAGGTGTGTTGGGTAGAAGTGTATGATGAATATGTTCAACTCTTGACTGTCTATATGCATTATCTAGGTCTTTATTTTTTTTTCTCTTCCTTATATCAGAACAGAGGAAGGAAGTAGTAAGTAAATTTTCTATTGAATGTGTTTGAAAAGCATTTTAAAGTGAGATATAGGGGTTATCTAATGATTTTACTTATCCATCCTCTTTCTAGCCCCCCCAGTTGTGAGTTCATTTACAGCACTATGAGAAGTCAAGAGTGGGACCAGCAGCTGGCATAAAGTCTATGTTGCTGGACTCCAATGTAGCCGACCGCAGTTCCAGTCCTGGACCCGGTGGCTTAAATTCATGCCAGGTGCATGTGCGTTTGTACTCAAGATCCTGAGAGGAGACTGGAGGAGAAGAGACTGCAACCTGGCCACCCCCCTGGGGAGTGATTTCTCACTTTCTGTCTCTCTGTCTCTCTCTGCCATTCTGGCAAGTGCGCACACCCTATAGCAAAAACCTCTCAAAAAAAAAAAGAAGCCACAGAGTCACAGAATGGTAGCTTAGAGCACTACTGAGATCTGAAATCAGCCTTCCAACATTCAAATATTGGCTCCACCAGTTATTATCGCTAGGGAAAACACCTTCAATTACCAACCGTGAAAACTGGGAACAGTGGTCTGGGTCTGTGGCCTGGTGGTTAAGATAGCCAGATCCCACACAGATGGCTGCACATCACCAGACCCAGTGTCTTGAGAAATCCACACTGGGCACACGTACATGCCCAAAATCCTGAAAGGAGGGAGAAATGGAGAAAGATAGGGATTGTGTCATGACCATTCGCTAAGGGGCTATGTCTTCTCTCTGCCCCTCTCCTCTGTCTCTCTGGTGAGTGCACACACCCTCTGACACACATATAAAGACAAATTGGGAACCGCAATGAAGCCATCTTTGTTGTATTGTAAGTCTTAATTCAACATATACAAAATAGCATGGTATCTGGGACATAGAAAGTGTTTAAAATATTATTAATAATTATCTTTTTTCGTTTTATGTGATATTAAGTAGTGAGTTCTACAAGAATCAGAAAAGAAAAACTAATTTCTTTTTCTTCTTATATTTTCCAGCTTCCTACAAGAATATAAATATTCATAGCCAAGAGATCCCAGGGACAGGTGAGGTGGAGCTCTCCTGTCAGGCTAAAGGCTACCCTCTGGCAGAAGTGTTCTGGCCAAATGTCAGTGTTCCTGCCAACACCAGCCATACCAGAACACCTGAGGGCCTCTACCAAGTCACCAGTGTTCTGCGCCTAAAGTCACACCCTGGCAGAAACGTCAGCTGTGTGTTCTGGAACACTAATGTGAAGGAACGTACATCAGCCACTATTGACTCTTTAGGTAAGCGCTGCCCCTTTCCTAGCTCTGGCAGTCAGAGGTCAGGCAAGAAGCAGCTAGCACACTCAAATCCTGTCATTTGAGGAGAGTGCCACAAAAGGACTGCTTACGAAGGCATGGTAAGGATTGAGAGAAACTAGTGCACAACACTGGGACTTCAGTTTTGGGGAGCAAATACAACTGTTGGAGAAATTACCTGAACCAAAAGAGGGCAGCTGCAGGGAAACACCACTGAACAGGAATTATGACCTGTAGAAAAGGGCAGATGAAACCCACAGCAAATCTAAAGGGTGGAAGCTGGAACAAACACGCCAACCTTGTTCTGCCCCCACTCTGCAGTCTCCTGCTGGTGCCTCACACTGGTGAGACCAGGCCAAAAGTCAGGCAGCAGGGAGCTATTGATGCATTCTATAAAGGTAATCCTCTCAAGACCAGCAGTTAGTGTAATGGCTATGTTGCTGGACTTCCATGTGGTCGACCGCAGTTCAGACCCGGTGGCTTAAACTCATTCCAGGCACGTGTGCATGCGTGCCCAAGATCCCAAGAGGAGAATGGAGGAGAAGGGATTGTGGTGTGGCCATTCCCCCTGGGGGGTGATTTCTCGCTTTCTGTCTCTCTGTCTCTCTCTGCCTTT